CTCAGCCAGTGAGCGGGAACCGGTCCGTATGTGGGATCCGAACCCTCGGCGGGAGCGCCACCGCGCTTCCCAAGCGGCGCACTATAGCAGTGCGCCACCGGGCCGGCCCCCCTCTATTGTTTTTTAATTCCCTATTTCATATATTTCTGTTGTAATCTTTGTTATCTCTTATTTATATCTGCTTTTGATTTAGTTTGCTATACATTTTCTATTTTTTGAAGGTAAAAATTTACAATACTGGTTTGAGACTTTTCTTATTTTTAATTTAGGTGTTTACAAGTATAAATTTTCCTCTAAGCACTGCATAAGCCCAGCATCCTTTAAATTTTGGTATGTGGAGCTTCGATTTTTATCTCAATGTACTCTGTAATTTCCCTGTGATTTTTTCTTTTTATTCATTGTTTATTTAGAAGAGTGTTGTTTAATTTCCACACATTTGTGAATTTTCTAAATTTCCTTCTGTTACTGTGGTCAGTGAATGTATTTTCTATATCTTAGTCTTTCTCCTAGAGAGAAAAAAAAAGGAAAAATTTAAACATAACAAAACAAAAGATCATGGGAAGACTTCCGTGATCTTTCAATTCAATGTTTCCGCAAACTTTTTGAAGTGGCCTTTTGTTTAGATTCTGTTTTACTGATTTTTTTTAAAGCAATTTATCGTGCTAAACTTAGATATTTAATTTCTGTCCTTGATTTCTTTTTGTTAAGTATACTTGTTGATATGCTCAGAAATTAACTTGCCTTTGAAAAGTTTATTCATCTTCCTCTGTTGAAATTAATTCTATATTTTCATGCTTTTGGAAGACTTTAGAGAGCTATTTCAAATAATTGCAGAGATTATAAAATGAAATATGTAAATATTAAGTTTTACATCTCCAGTTTTTTGTGAAAAATTGAAGCCCTATTTTGTACAGAGTATTTTGTTATTCATCTATTATTCAGTTTATGTATCTATTTGAACAAATAAATGTGCATATTCTTTTTTTTTTTTCCTTTTTGTCTTTTTTACTGACCGGTAACGGGATCGCAACCCTCGGTGTTGCGCCCGCACCGCGCTCAGCCAGTGAGCGGGAGCCGGTCTGTACGTGGGACCCGAACCCTCGGACGGGAGCGCCGCCGCGCTTCCCAAGCGGCGCACTATAGCAGTGCGCCACCGGACCGGCCCATAAATGTGCATATTCTTTTTTTTTTTTCCTTTTTGTCTTTTTTACTAACCGGTAACGGGATCGCTTGCTCAGCCAGTGAGCGGGAGCCGGTCTGTACGTGGGACCCGAACCCTCGGACGGGAGCGCCGCCGCGCTTCCCAAGCGGCGCACTATAGCAGTGCGCCACCGGACCGGCCCATAAATGTGCATATTCTTTTTTTTTTTTCCTTTTTGTCTTTTTTACTAACCGGTAACGGGATCGCTTGCTCAGCCAGTGAGCGGGAGCCGGTCTGTACGTGGGACCCGAACCCTCGGACGGGAGCGCCGCCGCGCTTCCCAAGCGGCGCACTATAGCAGTGCGCCACCGGACCGGCCCATAAATGTGCATATTCTTTTTTTTTTTTCCTTTTTGTCTTTTTTACTAACCGGTAACGGGATCGCTTGCTCAGCCAGTGAGCGGGAGCCGGTCTGTACGTGGGACCCGAACCCTCGGACGGGAGCGCCGCCGCGCTTCCCAAGCGGCGCACTATGCAGTGCGCCACCGGGCCGGCCCATAAATGTGCATATTCTTAAAAAAATAAAATAAAATGAGAGAAAAAAAAATCTTACTTGGCATTACAGTTTACCTGGATGTAAGATCCTTGAAGTGCTTACATTTAAAAAAAATTACTTATAGCACAAATATAACAGAGAATGAAAAAATCCAACATTTTACAATTCTACTAGGCTAAAATAAGTGGTTCTACTTTTTCATGTTTAATATATAATATTTGAATATTTTCATTTTTAACAGGATCTGCCAAACATATTTCATATTGTAGCAGGCTTTAGAGAAAAAAAGTATTTAAAGCAGGATTTTTAAGATCTGTGGTTGTTAGGTTACTGGTATTACAACTGGTTAAGGTTTCAAAGTCCTGTAGACTCCTGTCTCTTGTATTAATTGTCCAGGAATAATATTTTTACATCATGTTCTTATATTACAAGTACAACATAAACAGATCACATCTAAGGTATTTTATTTCATGAGCCCTAAATTAACCAAAACACAAATGTTTTAAGAATATGAACTTCTGCAAATATAATCAGATAAATGAACTCTTTTGTTAATTCAATGGTACCTTGCAAGATTTCTTATAGATTCTTTTAGAAGCATTTTAATATTGAGAAAAAAAGGTCTATATTGAAACTCACCACTGGATCTGTAGGATGAAAAATATTCAGTAACCGGTTACAAATCTCTCTAGGCAAAATATGGTCTTGACTTCCGGTGTTTCCTGGGCGGATGCCACGCAACGCCAAAAACACTGCTAGTGGGGATCCCATACAGAAAAAATTCTCAACCTAAAATGATAAAGCCATCCTAAATTTTATTAAATTTACTCATAATGTTAATAATTATTATTAGTAACTAATAATAATTAATTTATTAAATGTTTTTTCAATGAAATTTGGGCATAACATAATATATGGTCAAATAAAAATAATAAAATTACCTTTAAGTATATTTGTCTTTTTTTAATGAGCTTTGTCCAGATGTTTTCTGCATTGTTAACTATATGCTAACTATTAATCAATCTACAATTATTTATTTCCAGAAGCAACTTCATTATATTTAAATCTAATAGAAGGTGAAGAATGAGAAGAGAAGGAAGATAAGGATAATTTCATTGTGTGAGTGTTTCTATACACTAATCAAAGATTAATTGAGCTACTTCTTTGTATGAAGTAATATGCTAGGTGCTGTGATGAACATAAAGACCAACAAGGACCAATAAGACAGAGCTTGTGCACTCAGAGTTTACAATCCTATGGGGGAGGCAGAATAAAATAAGTGCATAAGAGAGACGAGAGCTATAGGAGAGTGAAGAAAAGAATACTTAATTCCAATTCTGAGGGCTTTACAGAGAAGGTAGCATTTGCATTGGCCAGTAAAAGACGAAAAGGATTTCCACAGTCGAGTTTGGAACACGAGGGCAGGAAAGAATGACATACAGATTGATAGAATCACATGAACTAAAGCAAAGGCAGGAAAGAACCTGGCTTAATTTTGAAAATAGTCTGATTTGGCTGAAAAATTGGGTGTGAGGAAAAAGTAGCCTGGAATAAGTTTGACTAAGAAAGTTGGACCTCGTTTATTTTATAGGTGGTAAAGGAGAACAGGATTTGACCCACATTTTAGGAAGTTAAACTTGGTAGCAATGTGTGGAGGAATTAGAACATTGAGAGTGTGGTGACCTGAAGACAAGTTAGGATTCTATAGAAAGAGTTTAGGCAAGAGATAATCTGAACTGGGGCAGGACAAGCTGTTCCATCCAGAAATGAAAATGTGGGAGGACAAAGTATGAACTCAACATGATCAAATGAAGATGGGGATGGGGAATAAGTCAGACAATTCACCAGATCTGGGTCTGTCTGAGTGGGACGATAGTGGTTCCACTAATTTTATTAGGAAACTCTAGGTAAATCCTGTTTTTCATTCATAATAAGTTGGAGGTATCTTTAACATGTAATATGTAGCTGAAAATTTAGGGCAAGAGATACAGAACTGGATATGCCATCATCCAAATCTATGTGTCACCTTCAGAGAAGTGACATGCAAAATCAAGGGAATGAGTAAGCTTGCCTAGTAAATACACACAATAAGAGGAGGGCTTCATGTAGCACCATAAGGAGTGTCTACGTTTAATTAGCAGGTGAAGGAGGTGGATCTACAGAAGGGAGAGTGAAAGGAGAAGGAGAACCAGAATAAAGTAGTATTATGGAAGCCTGTGGAGGAGAGGGCTTCAAGAAAAACAGGGTGGTCAACAGCACTGGATTCTAACACCCTTCCCTCCTAAATCAATCCTACCTCTCGTGTGTCCCATCTTGAAGAGTGATCCCAAATTCATCCTCTCCTCACATCCCCAATATCCAATAAGTCACTTTAACAGATTCTAACTCTAACATTTCACCTAATTACCTGTCACCTGGACTATACTGTAAGTGTGTCCCTGCCTCCAATTATATACACCTTTAATCCCTTCCCCACAGTGCCCCAGAGTGATTTTTCTTTTTTTTCCAAAATGAAAAAATATATATGAACAAATATATTTTGAAAAGGTACATTGATGTTAAGGAAGGTTTGAGAAAAAGCTTTTTAAAGGACTGGGTGACTTATATACTTGAAGGATGAAGAAAATTAACTTGTGCCAATAAAAATTAAAAAATAAGAAAGAACATTTTAAATAATAGGAACATATGAAAATATCGATTTCCGAAAGGAGTAAGGTCATTTCTTCTATAAAGCGAGGAAAGAAAAAAGGGATAGAGAAAGATGCAAGAAATAGTTGAGGTAGAGGAGAAAGCTATGTATATTCTTTCTGCTTGTTACATAAGTGTGTGTGCAGGCCTCCCCCCCACACCCTACCTAGCTAATTGGCCAGGCACTCCATAAACATGCTAAATTGTTATATCCATGCAGTAAACCACCTTTCTTCCTTTGCTTATGATGAGATTGCAGTTTGATAGAGAAACACACAAAGGAATTATTCTGTCTCAGATAAGGGTAATGACTTCTTTAGAGATATCTACATCAATCAAAGAATTTTAAAGGTGAAATAGAGCTTTAGACATTTAGTCTAAGCCCCTTGTTCAGAGATGAGTAAACAGATGAATTCAGAGATGTTAAGTGATATGGCTAATGCTATATAATTAGTTAGTGGCAAAGCCTCATGATTAGAACAAAAGTTTCCCATTCTCCACACCAATGTTTGTCAATATTTTTTTTTTAAAGTTCAATTGGCAACTGTGACATATCTAACACTTGTTTTCTGAACGTAAATCCATAAAAGACTTCTATTCTCTTTCAAACCCTGCAGTCCTAAATACTAACTTATCAGCTATTCCTTTTTAAATTTCAGATTTCTGTATTTTTTCTTTGAGTAATTAAATAACAATTAAAAACCTGTATTAGATTATACAAAGGTACTTCAACAAATTGTGGAAAAATAGAAAGATAATACATATCTTTCCATGAACTTTTTGAAGTACCCTCATATATAACTATGTATCAGAAGGAAACACAATTATAGTGTATAAGTTCTAGTAATGTGATTTTGAATTTTGAGATCCTAATATACTTAGTGGATCCTACCCAACTCTGCAGTAAAAAATCCAGAACATGAAATAGAAGAGTTTATGTTTTCCACCAGATCAATTCCATAAACTTATCAGTAGTTATATATAATAATGATGGTAGAGATGGAACTCAAATTCTAGGTCACGATGACGCCAAGACAATACTCTCACAGTTTTAAAATTGATGTTATAACTTTATCATATAATTTTTAATTTATGATATGTTAAAAAAAACTTTGTAAGACATAGATTCAATATAAAATTCTGTTTTAAAAAAATTTCTTCATCATTCCACATCTTAACTTGTGGTTTGTTCTTATGATAAAAGAAACACATTTCAAGAAGAGTTAATATAGTACACAGGTACGAGCATATATTCAACAGGAATTGAGTATTAGGAACTTATGACGTCCCCCATCTAACACTGCAAAACAAGTTACTTGTTATTCAGCTGTAGGGTGTGTCCTTTCCAACCGTCTAGTCAATATCGATATCTATCTGCCACCTTGTATTATTCTAAACCATTGTGACCAGCAGGTCATTCTGATACTCAAAAATCCTTCCCACTGCCCATGTCAATTTAAGTTCCTTTCTTCCAGCTATTCCTGTTCTACCACAGACCCCTTGTCCCCATCCTGTAATTTTAACCAAACTGGTTAACTCACCCTGCTCGACATTAACCCCGGGCACTCATGTCTTGTGCTTTTGTTATACACTTTTCATTGACTGAAATACTAGCATTCCATCCCTAAAACCATCACTGATATACTTCCACTTATTTTTTCTCACCACAGACCAACCAGTTGGTCACTAAGATTTGTTCATTCAAAATAGTACATATTTCCCAGATCTTTCTGTTTTTCTTTCCCACTACTCCAGATTATTTGGTGTTTCTTGAGGTACTGTGAAGTTACATCCCTCCATGCTTTTGTTTATGCTGTTCTTTTCACACAGAATAACACTTCTCCTTTCTTCCACTTAGCAATATCTAACTTACTAAGATAAAGTACAAATGTCATTCTTTTATAAACCTTTCCAGGCACAATTAAAACGTCCCTCTCTTGTGCATATATCATTCTGTATACTGCTAATAGCACCAATAATACTGTGTTATATATCTTGAGAGCTGGGGAATTGTCTATTCTTCTTTTTGTAGAACCCAGAAACCAGCAGTGTCTAACACATACTACGTGTTGAACAAATATTCAGTAGAAAGAACAATAATTAAGCTTTCAATTGAATCCAAAAGGTGTGTTTCAAATGATGTTTAAAAAAATACTGAGATAAATAATAAACTCATCGCTCTTTCCTTACCTTAAATTTTAAGGCAGGTGTTTGTGTCATAGATGATGCCTTCAATCCATGTAGCCGTTCTTCTATTTCCCTCAGCCTAGAAAGCAGTATGAGACTATATACACACATATTTATAATTTCATAAATATTAGATGCATATTAGTTTACTAAAGTACAGGTTGAGTTTCCCGTATCTTATCTGAAATGCTTGGGACCAGAAATGTTTCAGATTTTGGAATATTTGCAGACTACATACTGATTGAGCATCCCCAATCTGAAAATCTGAAATACAAAATGCTCCAATGAGCATTTCCTTTGAGTATCATTTCAGTACTCAAAAAGTTTCGGGCTTTGGAGCATTTCAGATTTTGAATTTTTGGATTAGGGATGCTCAACCCGTATAAAGAAGCAAATGATGACCCATTATCAATCCCTCACATTAATCCCTGTTGACAGTATTCATAAACACACCTGTGGGTGTACAGAAAGTCTGTAAAACTTATGAAATGATTAGTAAAAGTATCCCTAGTTTTCATGATACCTGCTGTTAATAACTGTGTCTTTTTGTTTTTTTAGTAAAAAATCCGTTAGTAAAATGTAAGGCATGTACAAGCATATATACACTTTTTAAAAAAATTCCACCACACGGTTGATACCATATACACTGTTCTGTCTTTCTCTTCTTTATGCTTAATAATGAATCTTAGAGATATGAATGAACCACAGTTTAACCCTTCTCTGCTGATGAACGTTTGGGTTATTTCATCTTTTTTCCATTACAGTGTTTCATACCTACTTATATTTAATAAACAAAGGAACTAAGTTAAAAAAAAAAAAGGCCACAGTTGATTTTCTAAGCCTGTTTTTAAAAAATGTTTTACTGGATTTATATGCCTAAAATGCTGCTCTGAGGCTTGCCAAACATTACATTTTCTTTCAAAACTGACCATCATTTTGACACTACACTATTTATGTATTTAACATACAGCACTTAATAAGATTCTAAATGAATCCTTAGACAACTTCTATAAGACTGAAACTAAACCAAGGCTTCCACAGAGAAAATTTTAGTCAATTAACTTGGCTGATTTTGTAAGAGGCTAAACAATCAAAATGAGTGATTTTTCACTGTTCTGTCAAAATTGATCAGATGAACTTGTGTCATTAAGAGGACAAAGAAGACAGGGTATGTAACTATAGATAAAGATAAGAATGTAACAAAGAATTAAAAGTATCAGGAAGACTACAAATGATCAAATAATTATAAAATCTGTTTATAATTATATAACATACATTTATATGTATATATTTAAAAATATATTTGCCAAGAAAAACAAAAAGGATTTAAAATTTTTTTTCAGAATAAGAAAGGTAGAAACCCACCTCTAAAGTTCAGTAAAACTACAAAGGTTTACAAACTGATAAACATTTTCGATAAGGATTCTATGCAGTGATTCAGCTTGGAGTAAGTTTTAGATTTCACTCCTAACAAATTGTGAGGAAAAGTTAGGAGAAAAAAAAGGAGGATAACAAAACAATTTATTTTACGCTAAGGAACACACATGCAATTAGCCTGAAAATTAACAAATAGTGTTTAGTTTGATTAGGCATGTTATCTAGCAATCTTTGTATCCTGAACAGTGTATTTTTTCTTTATTATGAAAATCTTAAAGTTTTCTCCTTAGAGGTCTAGTACATAAAGACATTTTAAATTCTTTCAGAACACTCAGGATATTTTACCGTTGTTTTGTTATATAGAGTTCATCGAGAAGATGTTGTTCTTCGTAGCTCATCCATCGTTCATCAGGTAATTCTTCTTCCTTCTGCAGCAACTGTTCATAAAGTCGAACTGGATTCCAGCCAGTCATTATGTCATAAGTGATTACACATCCCAAGGAATGTGACACTATTGAGACTTTACCCCCTTTTTCTTCAAAGTCTGGATTCCGAGAACAGAAAAGGGAATATAATCGATTCAGCTCTTGCTGAAGGCCTTTAACTAGCTGTTTGAAATAAGAAAACATTATCATATTAGAGTTATCACTGACTGCTCTAAATTTTATTTCTAAACTCAAATATATTAAGCAAGAAAAATATACATTACTGACCAAATATACCTAAATTATTAAAATTAACTCAAGTGCTTCAAAACCTTGCAGGAATCAAGTAGGGTACATACCTATGTGGGTAATTTCTGCCTATATTCTTTAGTGATGACATGGAATACAGACAGATACTACCCACATAGATCCTTTCATATTCCTTAAACCAACTATGAACCAGCAGTTCCATAGATTAAAAAAAAAAAATTCCATTGCAGACTCCAATAAGATTTACAAAGACCCCTCAAAATTTCTTCTTCATTGCAACTTATTCATAGCAATTCTAAATTTTTATACTTTGTGGTTTTTAGTCATGGTAAATTTTAGAAAAAGAACATCAGAATTTATGATAACAGGTATACCAACATATTATATATTATGCATTTAGATAGAGTAATGTAATGGAAGGCCATTATATGATTGAAGGAAAAGCTAATTTTAATCTATTTGATATTTCAAAATTCTTATTAAGTTGGCAATATAGATGAGTAGAAAGTTGCTCTCTATGGCTGGAAAGCAGGGCTTTTTTAAGGTTAGAGGTTGATAATGTGGAAGTATCATAGTAATTTTTCTTTATAAAACTGCTTTCTTTGAAACTAAGCTTTAATATTACTGAAATATTCCATAAAGTCAGAAGAATAAGGTTCTTTTGTTACTCAAATTCATACTAAGCCCTGACCTGAGTTTTAAGGCAGTCCTCTCTTCCTACCATTGCTTGCTTCTGTTTACTTATGCCAGCTGCTACTCTGATAGACAAATATTAGTTATTCGTTGCTTCCATTTTCAATCTTACAATGTCTTAAGAGAAAACTAGACTCCATCAACTTTTACTGAACATTCTTTACCTGCTGACATAAACTGAAAATCATTTGAGCACTTTATGACTGGCAGGGTTAGCAATGGGCATGATGTTCTGTTGACATCTCAGAGCTCTTTAATTCAATACTGAAGTCTAGTTCAAGCTACTGAAACTATGTAAGGGCTGATGAAATATATTCAGCCAATGAAGAAAGAAAAAGATAAGATGAACTGGTAGTATGTGGAAGAATGATAAGCTGCCTTTCCTCTAAGGAGGAATGCAAAACTCTAACTGGACATTTTAATATTTTTCCCAAGAAAAAAAAATTCCATGCTTTAATGCAATGGTTCTCCAAATTTCAACATGCATCAGAATCACCTGAAGGGCTTGTTAAATACAGATTGCTAGGTACCATCCCCAAGTTTTTGATTCAGAAGTTCTGAGATGGGGCCTGGGAATCTGCATTTATAAGTTCCCAGAAGATGCTGCTGCTGCTGGCCTAGGCACCACACTTTAGGAACTACAGATTTAGTGGCAAATGCACATAAAAACCTTCTAAGACATGGGTTATAGGTAAAACTCTAGTTATAGTTTAAGAAGTATGTAGTGTGATGTAAAATTACAAGGCTCTGTTCAAAGAGAGCTATAACGTATGCTTTGGATTTGGCTTTGATAAGAATATAAACTAATCATTAAAATTTTGTAATTTTCCTGATTTATAATCTACATGGAGGATGTGCAGAAAAAGCTAATGTTTAGATAAAATAAGTTCCTTTAAAGGCAATGCTTCTTAATAATTTTGACTTTTGAAGGCCTTGATTTAACGATTCATACCCCCCAAATCTAGGAGCACTAAAACGTATATACTTCAGTATATATAATGTCAGCACTCTGGCAAACAGTACCCAATCTTTAAGAAAATACCAACCCCCCCAAATTAAAAAAAAAAAAAAAAAGAAAATTACTCTACCAGTGATTAACCTATTTCATATTTAAAAATTTTAAAGAACTTCTCACTATCCCAAATACTTCATTAGTCTGGCTATCATATATGAATAACAAAACAAGACACAGAAAGTCTATTTGATCCTAGAATATTTCACATGGAATGGAACATAGTGTGGACAGTTTCCAAAGAGCTGATGATTTCACATGTTTTAATAATTACACAGTTGAAGAGAAATGGTTTTTGTATTACCTTATTAGAACATATCTAGACATGGCAGCATTTCCTATCTTTGCCTAAAGCTTATACATACAGTAACATCTGGGGTCAAACATTATTTTGAAAGCCTACTTTTAAAGGCTTTGCACTACCTCTAAATGCTTCTATAACTAATTCACTCAGCAGCAAAAGAAGAAATTCACCTCTATGTTGTATCTAAAAAGTTGGCCAATTAGGAATTTTTTTCCTTTTCCTTTCTGATCCAATTATATTCTCCTCGCTAGGATCCCTTTGTGACCAAGTATATTCACTTGGGACATCTGAGCCAAGATTAATGATATACCCTGTGATCTTAGCTTTATTAACTCTACAAAATTATCTAATCCAGTCAGTGAACATTTTACACAGAAGGCACTGGATGGCTTTTCAAAAGCTTAAAACAGTTTCTTATTCTCATAACCTCTGCTCAAGAGACAGAGTTAATAAAGAAAATCAACCCAAGAGAAAAAACCCCGGCAGTTTCAAGAGTGGATCTGAACACATAAAATATGGCTGAGGAATATAATTAGTTCTCTGTCCTTCTCCCTCCTTCAAGAAGTTATAACGAGAAATGTAGAGAATTTTAGTCACATACATCAATAAAATAATTTCCAAATGACAATGACAAGATATGGCCACGATAATTCTCTTTATAATTCTTCATTTTTAAAAGCCATTGAAAAGAGAGTTCAGATGTACACAAGATGCACAATTGTTTCTTGATTTCTTGTGTTACTTTATTTAGGGTTGAAATAAGGGTCAAAGGCTCTCTGATGTCGTGATAGTCTGGAATTATTATTATTAATTTTAACCAATCCTCAGAGAGTGTGACCTGAGAAGTAGTGATCGATACACAAAACTTTTGTCCTAACCATTGCTTTTCAGTGATTATTAGCAAATCATTAATTAGGGTTCTCCCACGAGCATCTCAGAATCTGAGTTAAAAGAGACCTTGAGAGGTGACCTAATATAAACTGCTATGGAAGTAGGAATCCCTTCAGCAGCATCCCTGATAATTAAGTGGTGGCTCGGTGTCTACCTCAGCGAATATCTCCATTTTAAAGTGTACACTTCTATTTATTTAAGGCAGCTTTGTTACTATAAAGTTCTTCATTATAGTAAACACGTTCCTTCCCATATTTTCTATTTTACTTTCTAGAGTTAACAGAATAAGTATATTTTAAAAAACCCCATGGTAGCCCCTGAAACACATAAAGACAAATAAAAAAACAGAATGAAGAGATAACGTTTCATGAACTTTTTGTAGTAGCCTTGTACATAATCACAACTTGAATGTCTAAATAGGAACCATAATTCGTACTGAGAACTTTACATACATTTTATCTTTAACCCTCATGGCAACATTTATCAGTAGGTATTTGATCCCTGTTTTGTAAGTGCAGAAGCTGAGAAAGTAACAAATTTGATCTAAGGTCACACAACTGGTTAAGTGGCAGGTTTTGAATCTGTATCTATTTAACTCCAAAGGCTCAGAGAGGAAGGGAACAAAAGGATCTTTTAAATGCCTATCAAATAAACCAAACAAGATTCATTCACCAGGCATGATTACTCCTAATCACTACTTCCCTAAGGAAACATGTATTTTAAAATAATTTATTCCAGAATATTGTCTAACACCAACCTCATGTTAAATAGATTTTAACTTGCAGAATCAACTTTTTCTTTTTAGAAATAAGAAAAATTTTTGTCCATGTCTCAGTTATCAACCTTCCCTTTTTCTTCTTCACAATGCCTTAAGCAGTGTTTCCCTCAATTCCAAGATATCACCTGCGGAATGCTAAAAATACAAATTTACAAGCTCTATCTCAGACTCACTAAACCAGAATCTCCATAGGAGGGAAGTGCGAAACTATTTTTTTTCTCTTTCCTTTTAAAAAATTTTTATTTGAAAATAATTTCAAACTTATAAAATGTTGCAAAATAAAAACAGTACAAAGATCACCTGTATATCCTTTATCCAGATTCACCTACTGTTAGCATTTTATCCCATCTGCTTTATCATTTGTTCTCTCTGCTTCTATAACACACACACACACACACATTCTTCCAACTTTTTGGGGAACCAACTGAGGACATATTACATTTGTCATGGTCTTTTACACCTAAATACCTCATTGTATATTTTCTAAAACTTGAAATATTCTCTTCCATAATTATAGTCTAGTTACCAACTTCATAAATTTACTCTGCTACAATGTTTCATCTAATCTACTGTCAAATTTTGTCAGCTGATCTAATAATGTCATTTATTGCGGCTTCCCCCCTCCAGTACAGGATACATTTTAGAACGAGATATTGTATTTAGCTACCATGTTTCTTTAGCCTCCTTTAATCTGGAATATTTTCCACAGCCATTCTATCAATATTTTATAATATTGATACTTTTATACAGTTCCATTCCTACTTTTTTTATTACAATGTCCTCATTTTGTATTTGATGTCTCTTCATAATTAGAATATTACATAAGTGATGGTGTGTCCTTCACTGGGTATCATATGTGGGGGCACATAATGTCCATCTGTCCCTCAGGAACACTCACTATAGGTGTTGCCTGATTTCTCTAGTGTATAATTACTATTTCTCCTTTTTAAACTAATCAGCAGTCTGTGAGGATACACTTGAAGACCATGTGAATAACCTGCTCCTCATCAAAATACTGTCCTCAAGTTAGTATCCATTGATGATTCATATCCAATCTTCTCTTACCCAATCCTACCATGACAGCTGCAAAATGATGATTTTCCAACTCCAGCATTCCCTGCACCAGCCAGCCTTCAGCATTCTACTATAAGTTAGGGACCTTCTTTCTTCCCCATTTATTTATCTATTTATAATTGGTAAGGACTTATGATTTTTTTTGATTCCACATTAAAAGTACTACAAATAATTTCTTACAATAAGTAATAATAATTACTAAGTTATCGATAATTTCTAATTCTTTATTATATAATCCTTATTATAATTCCACATTAAAAGTACTACAAATAATTTCTTACAATAAGTAATAATAATTACTAAGTTATTTTGGTGCTCAAATTGTCCCAGATCTGGCTAGTGGGAACTGCTTCTTTAATTCGGTACCTGTGTCCTCATGACCTGCCCCATCATTCTTTTGAGCATTTTCCTACCTTCTGTATAACAAGTTGTCCAAGCCCAGAATCAGCAATTTTCCCAAGGAAACACGGTTTTTCTTAGAGGGAAAAAATAGTACTAGAGGCAAAGATCTGGCAATAAGTGTGCTCACTGCAATGGGGTATCTTCGTTTTCTGGCCATTTCAGTGGACAAAGCTAGGAAGTGTATGAATGTATATACACATATTCACCTTCATATATACATGCTACCTATTCACACACACAGTTTAGAAATTTTGAGTTCACACTGATACCCTCAATTCCAGCCTCCCCCTACCCGCCATTCTTTTTTTTTTTTGACTGGTAAGGTGATCGCAACCCTCAGCACAGCACAATGTTGTCTGCACCACAAACTCGTGGCCTTGGCGCTCCCAGTGCCGCACTCTCCCGAGTGAGCCACGGGGCCGGCCCCCACCATTCTTTTTTGCCTGTGTTTTTAATAAGTACCCCAAGTGACATTTGGCAAAGACTGCCAAAGACTGATGATAAATCTTGGTCACAAGTTCTCAGTGCTTTTCCATGAAATTCACCTAGATCAAAAGACAAACTAATTTAAAGCACTGGATGCTCCCTATCCATATTATTTATCCTAGCCATCGGCTCCCTCTTCCTACTGAATACCTGTTTTATGCAATTCCATTCTGAGGATAATTATCTTTGCAGATATAAGAGCAAAGTAGAAAGTGGCCACTTTCTCAGTTATCATTAGCCAGTGGCCAGAACTTTGACTCTGACACTTTTTCTGATCCTTCCTGCTATTAGTATCAGTGTATTTTGGCCTTGAACATCCACAGGATATCTTCTTAGGGCTATATGTATATATGTATACATGTATATACTACATATATATGTATATATGTGTGTGTGTGTGCGTGCGTGCGCACGTGTATGTGTGGTAATATGCTCTCAGCCATCCTCTTTCCCTTCCCCTCCCCTCCCCGGTTTCATTTGTTATATTACAGTTCAATCTCCTAAATATTAGGGCGTATCTAACAATGCCCACTGTATATTATAATGGACTATAAACATGTAAGTTAATTAGTGATCTACTTCACCATCTAGGCCTTCCTTGTTGGTTAGAAATAGGTTCAAATAATATTTCTCTTTGTAGCTTTGCTTACTTTCTAGGAAAAAAATCAGCAAGGCAAGTAAAGAATATATTCAGTCATTGCTCACTTCTAGCAGATATCTTAGAGGCTAAAGTCTTCTTTTTTTTAAACCTAGACTAGGATGATGAGCTGTGTGGAGAATATGGTATCTACTTCCACCATATGGTTGGAAAGTGCACTGCTACATCTATTCTGCTTTTGCATTTACCTTTATCTTCCTGATATCAAGCTGTCCTCTACCTATATGGGTTAACAGAATCTCATGCAGGTGCACCTTTCCTCTACATACAGTGCTATTTCACCTCTCCTTCTAATGAGTTTATAATTTTTACACAGGGTAGTAGAGATAATGGTTTGGTTTGAAGTGATTATGGGACATCCACTTATAGATGCTCAGTTGGCAGCTGAATATACAGTCTGCAGTGCTGAAGAGAAGGGTCTGGGTTGAGAGAAAGATTTACAATAGAATTACTCCTAACCTCTGTACAGAGAGGTCTCTACACCTTTCTGACTTATCTGTAAGCTGATGCAATTTCTTCTCTTTCTTTGAAGAAATTACTCTCAGCTGGTTACCTTCTTACCTTTCTGGTTTCTTTTCCTGAATCTCCTTTGCTCTGTTCTTTGTCATCTGCTGGCACATTAACTGTCAATGTTCCTCAGAGATCTGACTGGGACCCTTTTCTCTTCCCATCTTGCATTCTCTCTCTGGATGATCTCATTTCATTGCTACTACATTTTGAAAAAACTTAAATGATTCCGAAACTCTATTTTTTAGCCTCATTTGTCTAAGTTTATGCCAAACAACTCCAGAAGGAAATCTTACACATACCTAAAATTTAAATAATTCATTATTTTCCTTCTGTTATATCCTCCTCCCTCACAAAAAATCTGGTTCCCCCTCTTCCATTTCTAGCTCATACCAGAACCATCGACGAGCTTCCTAAACTAGAAATTGAGTTATCTTTGTCTCTTCCCTTCCTGTTATCCCTCCTAACAAATCATTCCAAGTCCTCTTAATTCTATCCCACAATTATATTTTGAACCCATTCCTTCTTTTTTATTCTCATAGACACTATTTTGGGTTAGACCATTGTTATCTCTTGCTTGAATTTGTAAGGGCAGAACTGGGTGTGGGATAAAACTGTTTTTTCCTTTTTATCTCCTTTCAAGAAAATTAAAAATGTTTGGGAGGAATGAGATACAACACTATCTATTACTGCCTTTGTCAAATCCAAGTCACTTTATTAGCTTATAAAAATGAAAATGTGTCCAAATGTGTTCAGAAAATATTTGACAAATTAAATTTATAAGTTAACTCAAAGCATATGAAAACAAATATGCTAACTTTGAAATGTTTTACATGTTATTATAAAGATAGCTATAGGTTACTGAAGCTTAAGAAATCTATGATCTTTTTTTTTTTTTTTTTTTTTTTTTTTTCCATTTCCGGCAACGGACCGCAACCCT